AGAATCAAGTGTTTTAGTTGGTGGTTTTTTTGAGTACAGAAATGGTCAGGCAGCCCACATTTTCTCAACTCTGCCACCCTGTTTTAGATCTGTGTGCAGTTTCTTAGACCATACCGCTCCCAGCAGGATACTCCAGGGAAAGGCTGCTAGAAAATGGCACTCAGTTTTTAATTGGGAAGATTCCTTTCTGTCAAAAGCATTCTTTTAATTAACCAAGTACCACATCATCTTCATAAAGAAACTTAGCACCATAAGCAAAAAGATACTTCCTAATTTAAATCCTTGAAAGTTAACATGGAGAAACAAGAAAGAGAAGGCTATCTACTTTATCTCTCTGAAAATTATTCTGATTAAGCCCTTTCACAAGTACCTCCTGAGCAATGAATGAGTATACCCTCTATGTTTTTAAATTCCACAGGAGGTCTTGCCCACCCCACCCACCAAAGTGCCCACTTGCAGAGGCAATGAAGAGCATACGCAGGAGATCCTTTCAGACAGGATGTGGCTGTATTCTCCTTTCCACTCTCCCTTGTCTGCAACACAGGCAAATTCCTGGTGTCTGTGCTTCAGAGACTTAAAGTAAGTTACTGAAGGCACTGCAACACTCAGAAATGCATTTTAAGTTGAGGTCACACCATGAGCTTTTCACACAGGGGATTTTCACTTGGCTTACAGCTAGAGAGCATGTGCCTGGCTAGCACAGGAGTCCAGGACTCAGCATTGGCTGGCCGCTGCATCACACACAGCTCTGCAACAGCAATACTAGGAACAAGCTGTACCCAAGTTCAGTAAATTAGTCAGTGACAGAAAAAAGCTAATTAAGAACCCCTCAGACATCTTGGAAAAGTGGGTTTATGGAAAATAAGGGCATCAGACCACCACAAACTGATCTCGAAGCTCCCACCTGGCTGCTGAAAGATGCCGCTGCTTTGCCGAGATGCAGGAACTGACAGCCCACCAGGTCGTGGTTTCTTGCAAGCAAACAAAACAGGTGACCTCCATGAAGGGTGTAGGCAAGCCTGCTTTATTTCACATCTGCACCAGGTGAGGGACATTAGTTCACAAGGTCAGTAAGTGCCTCTCAGCTGAGGGGCAGAAAGCAAGACACCAAACCACCACTCCACATAGCTGGATCATAACTTTAATCTGTTAACTCTGCAGCTGCAAGCTATATACAAAGCAAATGCTCAGGTGAAGGAAGAGGATGAAATTCTGGAGAAGAATAACTGATACATAAGCATCTTAATCCTTAAGATACAAAAAGCTGCCAAAGACTTGAAATGGAGGCAGCAAATATATCCCCATAATGAAGTCCCTCTCATTAAGGAGGTCACAAGAGTCACCCACAATGTGAATGTAACCTTTGTGGCCAGACTAAGTCCAGTAAGATCACTGGGCACGCTTGCAACAAATATTAAAAACGGACCTATGCAGAAAATGAACAACTGAGACTAGGAACAACCACCTACTCACTATTCTTTGGTAATTTACTCACCTTGGACTAACACCAGCAGCACTGATGAGGGAACCAAAAAATTGACTCGCTTCTTTACCGCAATTCCAGAAAGCAGCCAAGCAGACCACTAGCAATTCTCCCTGGCTGACTTGACTGTACAAGTGATAAAACTGGAGGAATTACCAGGAATATGGTGTTTGGTGAAGAGGGTGAGCACTACCCTCACTGCTGTGCTCAAGCCAATGCTGCTTCCTTAGGAACATCCATCACATAACACAACACCCAACTGCTACTGAGGGATTGCTACCCAGGACTTACAAGCTGGGTATTACCGAACCCATAATTAAGTCGCTAGTTTGATTACCCGTGATTATGAATACTGAAAACATGACTCCCGAAGATACCCAAATTAACATGGTAGTCTACTGAAAAGAGCTGAGTGGTAAAAATCAACTGCTTCCTACACTCACCAGCAGCACAGAATATCCCACATAACTGAAAAGTCAATAGCAGAAAGAAAAGTCTGAAGGTCTCTTATGATTATAAAGTTCTTCTCTCTCCTTCAAGTGCCTAATGCGAGACAAACCAGAGTCTGTTACCCCCCCAGGAACAGACCCATCACCGTGTAATCCCATTAAACATGTACAAGGGCAACTGCCTAGTTCTACAGTTGAAGCCAGCCTCAAAGGTCTACCCAGTTTAAAATAAAGCAAATTGAAGGTCTCAAGCACGGCTTGACAAAATGCCAGCAAGACCATTTCTGCTTGACAGAGGTCACCTCTGCAAGTACAACGTTGCTATGGTAAAGAGTGGGGGTTTTGGGGTGGAGCAGGCAACCCCAAACAGACCATGCAGGAGGGCAGGAAAGATCAAAAGAGGGAAATCGTTAAGAAACATTGGAAAAGATAAGACATCTGAAACTGTGCATGCCACTGGGTCTCAGCTCAGCACAGTGAGCCATTCAAGAAGCTACTGATGTGCAGCCACCAGACTGAACTCCATCCATCACAGGGGTGTATCTACCTTTTGAACAACAGGGTGTACCCAGCTCACATCCACACAGAGCCTCTAGATTCCCTGCTCTACAGCGATTCCTGCCCTTCGATGGGAAACCCCTGCATCTCTCACCATGATCCAGGATTTCGATTCTGATATGTAACCCAAGAGGGCAACAAAATCAAATCAAGTAAGAAAACCTGGCTTTTTCTCCTATTTCTCCTGTCACTTATCTTTGTACAGTTGGCGTATCATCACCTTTGTCTGCCTCAATTTCTAACACTGACTGGACCAAAAGTGACATATGACCAACCACAAAATATTCTGAAACTTAGCATCTGTATCCCTACAAGCATTTAAAACCACTGAAACAGGCTAGAAATTAAGTTCTCTCTGGCCCAATTTGTTTGTGTGGCTGCAGCACTATCTAGCCTGTTTCTAGCTTTTTGGGGGGGATTTTCATACAGCAACAAGGATGCCTCCCTCCTCATAAGAAGTTACCCTTGCAAGAAAGCACCCTGAAAGCAGAATATGCAGAAGCATGTGAGACTTGAGGAGTTTTACATCATTGTCCAGATTCTTCTGAGAATTGTCCAAAGCTTCCCATGCAGAAAAAAAAGCGGGGAAAAGGGCACTCACACTACCAGGCTTTAGGACCACACATTGAGGTACTCAGGGAGATCAGAGTCAGCAGAGAGGGACACTTTCACAGGGTGCCTCTTCAGTAACTCAGAAACTCTGCTGACACTGCAGAAAAATCAGCCTCCATGTTTGGAGGCTGAACCTCAGTCCATATAAACACTCTTTTTGCCCCCTCACCCAGACCTGGAATACGCTTCAATTAATAGATCAACATCAGGGCTAGGATTTCCAGACCAAAAGTCTTCCTTTGGCACTGGTGACACTAAGCACCTAACTAGTAATGGTTGTTTCAGCAGAACTGGAGGACACTCAAGTAAACTCAAGTGTCTAGTTTCTTTTTTTTAAAAAAAAAAAAAAGCAGCACCTCAAACCAAGCCGCCCCCCCCAAAAAAAAACTAAGCAGAACATGTCCCCTTGACAGAGTGACCTTACAGAGTAGCTGGAGGAGTCATCCTAAAAATACACATCCTGCCATACTTCACCAAGACTTGTTTTGCTCTGTATACTTCCACTTTTCAAAACCCCTAGAATAACCAATGTACTATGTTTCCATCACAAAACAGGCATCATTACGACATCTTTAAAAACAAGGAACAATTCTAAATAAAATTTGAGACCTCCTTCACTACCACATGGTATGCAATTTGTCCCTTTCTGGAGAAAAGCCTGAATAGCCACACACACAGCACTGCGAACTGATTCAGTTTAAGCAACCAGCCCACAAAGGAAGTAGAATTATGAAACGCTGCAAGATAATCTGTTTGTGAAGCACCCGTGTCAGTTGTCAGTGTGAGTAAATTATACCTCTGGGACAGGTGCACATCTGGGAGAGCTTCTGTCTTGCCAGGATTGCCACCCAGATGGGAGGGAACTGCATTCCTTGCAGGATTTCCATCCAAGTCTCCACTACCAATTGGAAACTAAGCCTGAGGCTCACTGCTTGGAGTTACTGATGAAGGTACTGAGTAGAAAGACAAGAGGGGGACTGCAAGGACACATGCAGACTAGATTCAGGCAGTCTGGCAGGAACTGTGTAAGGGACTAGAGCTACTCTGCAGTGGTGGCTATGATCTCCAGCAGAGACAGGAGAACACAGCATGTCCCAGCCTTGTCTTACTTCAACTTCAACCAACTGCCCATTTGGCACAAAAGCAGCGAGGTACAGGCACACTCTGCTCCACCAGTGACATGGGCAGGGGGAAAGGCGTTCATCCCAGCAGAGGACAGAGGCGTTGGTAACAAGCTGAGAGTTTGGTGCCCGCCAAAAGGCTAGGAGGACCACCCCAGAGTCCTGCATTTTAATGAGTATTAGGTAAGACCATCACCCTGGAATGCACACACTTCACAGCTGGACCTGAAGTGCATCGTTCCTATTCTCCTCACCTAGTCCCACATGAAGTTCGAGGGAGTCTGAATGCAGAAGGCAGCAGGGGATTTGGGGAAAGACTGAGCCTCTCCTATGACAGCAGATGCTAGCACAGTGTGAGCTAACATCAAGTTACCTTGCTACATGGAAAGCTTCTAGCTTCTGTTAGTTAAGTTCAAGATGCACTCTTCAACCTTGGAGGAAATAAAAAAACCCAGTTTATTTATTCTATTGGCTTATTAAAGGAGATGGCCAACCAGAATATCAAAAATGGGAAAAGTTTCCACAACTTGGGACAAAAAGGGTCCTGGGTTTTAGGCAACTGTTTAAGAACCCATGGGCTACTACAGTAGCATACTCAGGAACCTTGACTAATCTGGAAAATTGATAGATTTAGTTCATTTTTAATGACAAGAACACTCATGTCCCTAGCCCCCATTTCCTCTCAGCACCTCTGCAGGCCCTCAATGCAATGTCACGCTGCAGAACAGCTTATGCAAGTTGTGCAAGCTGATTATCTGGGACAGGCAGAGAAGGAAGAGAAGATCAATTTTTGCTCCTCACACTGCTGAAAGCTAAAATTCAAATACAAATGCACTTTTGAGAACTCCTGCACTTCTGGACTTTGGGCCTGATAGGCAATACCCCTGGGGAATCCATCCCTGGGCATCAATGATTACAGCTTAAAATTACTGTATTCCTCTACGTATAAACAGTGTCATTAGACTTGTACTTTTAAAAAATAAGATCAATCCAGGCCAGGGCCAGGCTCTGCAAATAAAGTAGTAGCTTATCTCTTATAAATATTTTTAATATTTTTTTAATTACAAGTAGTCCTCACTCCAGGTAATGTAACTGACACAAAGTACCTGCACACACGCAGCCCATAGACTTTCACAGAAAGCCCAGGAGCAACCACTGTGTAAGGAAGGAATCCTACCTCACAGCAAAGTAGGGGATGGGGCACATGGCCAAGATAGCCTAAATGTGAGGGAAGAGTCATTTGGAGTAAAGACAATAGAAAGGGATTTCAAAAACTCTTCATATAAAGGATCAAGGAGGTTAAAGCAAAAAACTGGTTTAAAAAGATGTACAAAACTGTTGGAGACCAACAGAAAACTCTGCCAAAAAAATAACTTGCATTTAAATCAGAAATCAATGGCATCACACAATTTTGTTGTTAAGAAAAGGAAAAGAACAGTGGAAATCTGTGTAAATATCAGCATTCATAAAGAGTTATCATTAGCTCCAGAGACCAGCGTAATTCCCATGAAGTCCAGATGGAAGGGGGCCTCCTGCCACAAAGAGTTTCGTTCCAGACGAGTCGTAGCAGTGGGTATAAACAGCATTTGGGAAGAAATTTATGTCAGAAAAATAATTCCTCCAGGTCTCATCATGATTCTGTTAAAGGAAAGTTTAGATTGTTATTGTTGCCAAACAAACGCAAAGCCTTGTTTCACAAAAGCAGAAGGTAGCTTCCAGAGCCTAAAACCGGATCTTTTCTGTTAATACTCCCTGAAGCTTCAGATAGATCTACTTGAAGATACCAGAGTTGTCCTGAAGCTTTTTCTGAGGACATTTGGGCCAAACATCGGAGGGGGGGAAGTGAAGGGTGGGGAAGATATCAAGTTTCATTAGTTTTTCAAGTTACATCACAATGATACAAAAAATAATGCAGAGAAGTTAGACAAAGCTATTAATTGCTTTATGATAACATACAGGAAATTGAACTCAAGTGCCTGCCATAGCATTACCTCAAGAAGCCAGAGTTTCTAAAACTGTACACAACTAAATTAAACCTCTCTTAAAGTACCATGTTAGAGTAGCACGGTTTTAAAGGAAGACACTGTATTTTGTGTTTCAAGATTCTGAAAACTAGAAGTTAGATTACATTCAAAAATACAAAGATATAAAATCTAGTTCATTTGTGAATCAGTCCATAAGAACAGCAGTCAGCACGCCTTACACTCAAGCAACCAATCTTCAATACCCTCTCATAAAGCTTTTAAAAGTGCAATTTTGCAGCACTTCTTGCTTTTCATGATTACAGTTATCAGTTACATGATCACTGTTTTGCTGGGATGCATTTCATACAATAGCTCCCATTACTATAAAAAGAACCAGTTCTTAAGCTCTATAACACTCCTGTGTAAAGGGTCTCCTACAGCCTCAAGCTACTCACCAGCCAGCCTTTCCCAGTGGTCAACTTCAAAATTTCACTTCCTCCTAGTTTCTGCTTCTGTCCATAGCAGGCACGTGGAGGTTTTTCATCCAGGAACCTCTGGGCTCTGATATCGTAAAACAATAAAGAACCTTGCCCTGTTCCCACTGTGATGATGTGCTCGTAGAAGCTCACCGATCGAATGCCTGTCAAACAGAGAAGTTTGTCAAACATGCAGTGCAGTAAGGAAGATGGATGCTTTGGCTCTACAGTGCTGCTGCTTGATGTCTAATATTTTCTTTAAGAGGAACACCTACTAGTATTCTCCACAAGTTTCCCCACTGCTATGGAGCAGTGCAGACAAATCCCATGGATGCTATTGAAACAGCAGCTTCAATTACATATACTACTTTCCTTCTCCTCTGAGGCCATCAGCTACGTTGAGGGTGCATAGTAAGAAGGCTCATCCCCAGCAGGCCCCAGCTCTGCCAGAAAAGCAAAGATTATAAGCCATTTAGGATCAAGAACAGCTTTGTTCTGTCTGCCATGAGCCCCTACGCAAAACCACCATGAATGAGTACATGGCAGCAGACGGAGGAAGCACATCACACTGGCTTCGTCCATGAGGTCACACCCTATCTAGTTATATGCCAAGTTGCGATGTGACGATGTCAGAAAAATTACTGCCCCAGCTGCCACCAAGTGCATTTTGCTGATCAATAGGCTAGCTGTAAGCAAGTATAACCACAATAGTCATTAGTCACTTTGCTGCTACGATAGATTAAGCTCTTAAATAATTTTGAAGCTATCTCTACTCACATATTCTCACACAAACACACCTTATTCTTTGTAGCTGGCACTTTTAGCACTTCACCCAGCCACAAAAACAGACTAGGAACCCTGCAACCTAAGCAACGCCACGTTCCACCAGTATATGCGAAGCTACAGCAATTTTCCAGTCCAAACAAAACATTCTAGCACAATTCAGCTATGCCATTAGACTAAGTAAAAGAGTACATTTTGTTTTCACAAAATCTAAATCTGAAGCCTCAGCTAAACAAGGGTCCCTTTGATATAGTCTTGGGGAGATTCTATGTAGGAATTTGCAGTTTGCAAAATGTCCTGTTATCTCATCTCTATTTATTATGCAAAAGGTTTGTTCTGTGCAAGCACTCTACCCCAAACAACTCTTCTACACAAATTAAACTCCACCACATCTGTACTTTTGCTTCCTGCACAACATGACGCCAGGTTATAAACCCTAGGGCTTTTTAAGCCCTCTTTGAAGTACCACTAAATTACAGCCTAAACAAGCATTCTAACAGGAGGGGAAAAGAGTGAGTTATGCCAGCTACATCCATGTGACAACTGCTGTCACCATACTGAGTGGGACTGAACGTCACAAAACTTGTAACATACTGGAATACACCCAGCAGCACACGTGAGAGCAGGCATCTGACAGGTGTGGATAGAGTCAGGGAATTTCCCCTTCCCCTTTGTACAGAGTCCCAACTAGAAACACATCCTCCCCCTTCCGCCTCCACAATTTCATGTTACATCCACAGTCACCAGCATCTGTGACACACTTCAAACAGGCAAGGCCACATTGTTGTGCTCCAGATGTGAGGTGAAGTCTTGGCTGCAGGCTTAACAGGTAGGAAACCACTGTGAAAGTCTCACACCTGCTGAATTAGATTTATCAGATTCATACGAGAATCTCTGCTTTAATTCAGAGAACTACAAATGCATCTGAGCAAGTCAGACACATCTCTCCCTCTGCCCATTACAAGGGCCTCGTTCTGGCAAATACATGCAGGAAGCTTTAAGCCCTCTGCAATCAGCAACAGCAGTCACTTGGATAAAAGCAGAAAGGCACAAGAGGGGACCTCCTCTTATTTTTGCTCCAAAAGTGCTCTTGACAAGCAACCCAGTAGAACACTTACAGAAACACATGACAGAGTATGAAACCAGAAGGCATATACTTTTCAATGCAATTATTAATAAAACGCTATAAAATGCTGAACAATGGTGGATCTTTCTCTAATCAAAAAAATTAACTGACAGAATCTGTCCACCACTAAGAGGATGTTTAGAACAGGCTTTCAAGAACAGCACTTCAAATTGACTCCGAAGGGGCTGAAGTACCTCAGATTAATCATTCTCATCAAGCTAAAAGCACAGCCTGTGTCTAGATCTAATCATGGTTAAGCTCTCCAACATAGACATCACTACCACCTGTGGACCTGGACTATTTGGGTCAGCAAACTGAGTCTCACTCCTGAGAGCATCCTCTACAAATTCCAGAAGGAAATGAAGATGCAGTAGTGTGTCCTACACAAGGAGCAGACACAGAGTCCATGCCGCGCAAGCTCCGTCCACTACATCAACATTGCTGCCTTCAGGATATAAAGTCAAGGGCACGCGACATTGCACTGTGTACCAGTTGAGCAGAGAGCAGTTGCCCTCACAGATTAAGAGCCAGAGTCCACGGCCTGCAGTTCCTTGTACAGCTGCTAAGAAAAGCAACACTTAGGAGAGGCACTAAAAAGCATTAGCTACCTTCTCATGTACAGCAGACAGGGTTACACTGAGCAAAATCCAGCCCCAGTTCCAGTCTTACAAAGCAACAACCTTCCTCTGACCTGCTTTTGTATACAACACTAATGATCTATAGTTAATGTGGACTTGCCATATTCAGCACGTGCATCTGGAAGCTAAAGCACATTCAGGTAACTCTTCAAAGCACTTAAAAGTCAACCCAGATTTTACTCTGCGAGTCAGTAAAGAGCCCACTTTCTAGAGGTGTTGCACTGCTCCAAGTTCCAGTGAGATCAACAGAAAGTTGAAACACTCTGTGTCTTGGGAATTAGTATTACTTAAGTGCCTCCACCACCATGCCAAAAAAAATATATCCACCTACTACACAGAACAGAAAACAGCATTGAACAAAGGCTTTCTCCAGGCATGAACTAGTGCCCCAGAGATACTACCTACACATAGATCACCCCCCAGCAGGGATGATCACATAGACAAGGCAGAAGCTTCCAGCCTTCTGCCACAACACTCCAGTGTCTTGGTATTTTTTCCCTAGGATACTGTCACCTTTCAGTATCAGGACCTCCACAGAGCCCTCACTGACAGCAGGTCAGGAAAAGGGCTGTTGCTGGTAAGATGTTCAGGTGACAACACAAGCTGGTGAAGCACCTTTCCTCAAACTATAGATACTTCTATCATATCTGAAAGAAGCAGACCCTGACATTTATCTAGACAGCACTGTTCAAACTCTGGTAACCATATAAATAAAACTCTCCTAATCCTTGCCAATGTGCATTCTCTTTTGATAACTTGCCTCATGAAGAGATGGATGCCTAGACCCAGGCTAAATAAGGACTGCAATTTAATTAGTCTGGGATTAATGTAGTTTAAAATGGACATCACAGCACAATGCCTTCTCATGCTTGAAAATAAAGGGTATGGGAAGAAGCTTACAGGACTACGCACCCTGCAAGCCCTCAGACCTGGCCCTGGTGTAAGGTTCAATTGGACATACTGCATCCACATCAGAAAAGGAAAACAGCACTCAAATCTGCAAACTTTTTTTTTTTTAAAGAGTGAGCTTTTTGTGTATTTAAAGCAAATAAATACACATTGAAAATTAAGAATCTCATTCACTGCTTTTAAATTGCAAAGAAAGCATTCACTCACAGCACAGGCTCCCAATACAATAGCACAGAGCAGACAACGTTTTTTTTTTCCCGTTCCCACAGAAAAATGCAAGAATAGAGAGTATTAATAGTGGTACAAAGACTGAATTTGCTTTGAGATGACGTAAACCAAAGCAAGATTCAGTAAAAAATAAGTACAAGTAAAATGCACACTTTTAAAGTTCAGTAATACTTGGATGGTGTACAATTCAGTTCATCGTAAAAGCACTAATGTTGTCTATCATTAGATTTCAGAGTTGCTTTCATATTTGGTTTGTTGGTTGCTCAAGGAATACTGTCATAAAAGCAAAACCTACATATACTGTTAATGATTTAGTCTATCATGTGAAAAAACATTCCTATTTATTAAAAGCTTATCTTATGCACCCTTAATAGCTACTTCTGCAAGCAAACTCTTTGAAGCACCCTTTGACAAGTTTCTTACCACTGCCTCGTTCTTTGGAACAGACGGATTTAACATTGTGAGAAGGCTGTCTTGGATCCAGAAAGGAGACGTGTGCCTGTGATCCTACCGCGTACACTGACCACTCCTGACCATATGCCAAACACACATTCTCCCTGCAGTATGGCAACTTTGTGGAAAGTAACTGGAAACAGAAGAAATAAAAATCAACCCATTATGAGGAAAAAAAAGAGCAAGATGTTAATAAAACAATTCTGTAAGCTATGTTCAAGGAAGTTGCAGCAAAAAAACCAAAATGCAGTTAAAAAAGTAAGTTTACCACAAAAATAGAACTTTAAGAGAAAAGCAACAACTTGACCCAGAGAAAAAAAAATTAAGGAGATTGGATGCCTTATCTGAACCAAACTGAGATGATAAAGGCTGAACTATTATGCAAAGAACAACAGACATTTTGGTAAAGTTTTTAACACCTTTCTAAGCTGCTGTTATTTCTTCAGCAGGTGTACACAGACATCAGCTCCCAGCTGAAAAAGCTTACCTCATACACTAGCATAGGTAAGTCTGGGTTTGATCTGCAATCACACTTAAAAAGCGCAACTCCGCTAGTCAAGTATCTGTCATACTCTATACAATGGTCCACTTCAGCTAACCTGGAAATGGCAGAAAGTTAAGAGCACTTCCCACTCTCCAAAATAAGGGGAGTTTCTCTCCTCAAGTTCTTATTTTTAGGACATTTCATTTACATAAAGCTTTTAAGTGTTTCACAAACACTGATGCTCTTTCTTCAAGCATTTAAAGGAGATGAAGAATTACGAACAGCCTTAACTGCCAGGCAATTTCTAAAACGTAACACCAACAAACAAAAAAGCACCTTTGATAGTGTGTGCTCTGCTTTCCAAAGATGAAAATACCCATCTAGGGACACAGCTCCCAGTTCCTATTAAAAAAAAGTAAGAGAGTTAGTTTCTGTATTATAGATATCCTTACAAACTCACACTCTCTACTAGGCAGCCTGCATACTCTGGATTGAACTCATCCATAATCCCATACATGCTTATCAAGGTAAGTTTTCATTTTGTACTGATCTTGATAGAACACAATACAGCACAAAGGTGCCAGGTAGAATAAGAATTAACAAAACAGTAAATAACCAAAAATAACTTTCAAAAGTATAGATCTTGTTAGACAACCAAATATGAATAATCAGACACTACCAGCTAGAGTTGACAATTCTCTTTAGCAGCTCCCACACTGATTCTGACCCTGAAGCAAACATTTCTTTCCAGGCACTACTGTACTGGAAAAGCTCTATGAACTCTCCATCACAGAGGAGTAATTAACAGCTATAGTGAAAAATAAAACCCACAGGAGCACTGTGCTTCTGAGAGCACACCCACCTTTGCTTTAGACCTTCTTTGTTATCTGAGAGCAGAAAGAAAAGTAGCAGAGGATGAACTGCTACTCCCACTAGCAACAACAAGAGATAGCATGGGTGAGGTTAACATTTACTGTTTGTTAAACACCAACAAAATAAGCACTGGTTCCTGCCTGGTCAGTCAGCCACCTCACTTACTCAGCAACCCCTTAACGATTCAGCCATCAAAACAGGAACTGCCTGAATGTCAGCTGGTTTTCATGAAAGGCGGAGGAAAGCAGCAAGCGTGCTCAAGAGTGGGATTCAAGCTGCAAGAGGTGTTTTGGTGCTTTACCTGCTTCTTGTAAACATTCCCTGTCTCCCCTGCTTAGGAACCAAGACTAAAATCAAACCCACAGGAAAATTGTTCCTTCTGAAAACAATTTTTTTTTCCTACTGGACTTTTCCATGCACTTGCAGCAGAAGCAGACATCGCAGATGAAGACTACCATCTCACATAAGGATGCAAAAGGATCAGGGGAAAAAAAATATTGAGTTGCTTCTCTGGTATTTTTTATTTAGAAGACTTTTCTTTTTCTAATACATATGGACAGTTTTAGGACTTCTCAGCTGTCTTGCTTATCTTACTGACCTTGTTCTTATTGTTGAAAGCCAATGCTCGGACTTTGCAGTTGTCAGGATTGGTGTTCTCCTTGGGGATATCCTTCAGAGCCCTGTGTGTTATGTGGGCATAGACAGGAACTTGAGAGAGATTATGCCTGGCATCGCTTTTAGACAACACATCCTCTGTGACTTCCCAGAGACCCATCGAACCATCCCGGGAACCTGAATAAATAGTCCATAAATAGTCTGTCCATTTCTCATACACATAACTTCTTTTTTTAAAAAAAAAATTAAAATATAGAGTCTGAAAAAAAAGGACACTATTCATTTAATCTGAACAAATTGTTGGTGCATATAAATTAATTATTATTAACAAAAATGTGATTTTACTGTACTGTAAAGTTCCTATCATTGTGAACTCATTGTTAACTGGTTTGTCTGCATGGTTTCCAAGCAGCTAGATCATCTCATCTGTTTTCAAACTGATTAGGATGCATCAAAAAACCACAATCCTGTACAACAATCACCATTAAAGATTCAAACATACAATAAACTCAGAGGCAACTGAGTAACACATGCATTCAGCCTGGCTTACTGTGAGAAGTGGACTGTGGTTTTGCTTAAGCCATAGCAGATAGGCAGTCAGAAAGAAGGTAAGTTTCCAGGTACCCAAGTATGGGGACAGAGACAGGGTAATGTGTATTTGGGTATAGGGTTAACTTGCTTTGGCTGACACCACTTATCTTAGACTAATCTGCTTTTCTTAGCCATGATTAGTCAATACCTGGTTGTCACCTTCCTACCTTATATGGAAGAAAGGGAGGATTAACTGTCAACTTGGGTTTGCAATATAACTGAACCTATAGAGAGCAGGCGCTGGAATAAGAAGTTCAACCAAGAGGAAGACTTTGAACCTTCATCCCACGACCCTCAAAGAAGACCCCTAGAGAACAGTGCGCAGAAGCAAGTGGGAGGGTATAAATGTAAATAACTTGGGGGAAATCATTTGAATATGTGTAAGACTTCCAAGAAATGGCACGAATATGAATGACTGTCCTAAATAAATAACTGGAAGTGAGACTAACCAGTGTGCATGCAAGAGGATCAGGAAGGTGATCTCCCGTGCACCCATCGCTGCTTCACAGCTTTGCTTCACAGACTTTGCCCTCTCTTAAAAACTACATAGGTCAATGTTTCTCACACTTAACAAGGTCGAGATTGACAGTCTGTTAAGCCAATACAAACACCTCCAAGAAAACTCAGTTGGATTTATGCCAATTTAAGTTCATTTGAATTCTACCAGTATGTTATGGATAAGTACACACACATTCGTGAACTGAACAAAACCAGCTACTTTAAACCACAATTTGTACCAATTTGGATTAAATCCATTTTAAAATTTATTTTGCTAAAGCCTGTACAACTTCTTGTTTAAAGAATGTAACATAGGAACTGAGGTTGAACAAGCAAGAACTCATTTTATTTTTCTATTGAATTTGAAGACATTAATCCAAATTATGAATCAATAAGAGTAACAATACTGAATAGAGAAAGCTTTGGGTCATAGATCAACACAGGCTTAATCCAAGGCCCTGTATCCATCCCTTCTGGTGTTTAGGCAACTCCCATCTAAATCAGCTCTGACAGATTTAACATGTACCTCAATTTCTACCCTACACAATGTGAAAAATAGTTCCCATCTTCTCTCACAAGGCATGTATAATGAAGATGCCAGAAACGACTAAATATCTATATCAGTCTATTAATTTATAGGCTTTGATACGTGATAGGGAATAAGCTGCAAAGACAGTTAAGCAAAACATCTTGCAATATGGGTGGTCAAGCACAGCAGAGATGCCTTTGCCCCCTCACAGACTGATTGCCACTGTCACTACAGTCAAATACAAAAGGAGCTTCCTAATGGCACTTGCATAGCAGCAGGCAGCACAATACACAACATCCTGCCACTCAATTTACATGCTGATGGTTTTTCATGGCACCTAATCTTGTTTGTTATGGAGGCTGAATACTCGGCAGTAGAATTTCTAAACATCTCGACATACTTTATGAGGAAGCTGTCCCTTTTAATAGGCCTAGCACAGGAAAGTCAATGTATGTTGTTCAACTGGTTAGCCCTGAAGCCAAGGAGAATATCGTTTGTTACCCTAGGCTTATGCAGTCCTGGGAATTATTCATCCCATCTGAAGCTTTTGCCATGGAAATATTTTTGTCCAGCCAGTACAACTGAGTAGACTGATGCACCCTCCCTCAGCTATGGCTGCTTAGTCAAGAGCTCAATTTTATGCTTATGGACTACGCTGCTGCACCCTGCCTTGTTT